TCTTCGTCTTCGTCTTCTTCGTCTTCTTCATCTTCTTCGTCTTCTTCGTCTTCGTCTTCGTCTTCTTCGTCTTCGTCTTCTTCTTCCTTCTTTTAACGTGTTATACATTTTTTAAAAAAAGATTTCTTTATTTATTGTGTACATAGCATTCTGCCTGCAGGCCAGAAGACGGCACCAGATCTCATTACAGATGGTTGTGAGTCACCATGTGGCTGCTGGGAATTGAACTTAGGACCTCTGGAAGAACAGCCAATGCTCTTAACCTCTGAGCCATTTCTCCAGCCCTGAGAGTGGCATTCTTTAGGCATTATGAGTGGGTAATATTTGCTGTTGCCTACCAGATCCAGATGTGTTTCATGGGAGGTTCCAGGACAGATGCATCAAGAGATTGCAGTGATCATTCTCAGACGGTCTCCAGCAGGCTACGTGACCACACACAAATCACTATCATCCTCTGAGCACCCACTGCTTGGGATCTGTAAAGAGAAAGGAAGATAGCAAGCTGAAAACTGTGGTTATGCTTTGAGAAGACTCTTCCTCGTGTACCACAACAGTAATTGACAAAAAGGGACTGCATCCTTAAAACCTCCCTGTAACTCAGTTCTGTGACTGGAGTCATGGGAATCTGTGGAATGAAGTAGTGAGAACAAGGTGACTGTCACTGTTCAGAGGATGGTGAACTTCACTGTTGGCTCTGGGCCTTGTGCCACACACCTAGAACCACACAGGAATATGGTAGAGGTGTTTCCTTAGTTTTATGTGTTTTTCCAATTTCTTGTGAGACTCTTTTGTTCTTTGACCAGAATTCATCAACAGTAGCTGTAGTCAAAGGCATCAGAATGGGAATGATTTCATCATTTTGTTTTTTTGAGACAGGTTTTCTCTTGTGTAGTTTTGATGCTCTGTAGACCAGGCTGGCCTCAAACTCACAGAGATCTGCCTGGCCTTGCCTCCCAAGTGCTGGGATTAAAGGCGTGCACCACCACCGCCCGGCTCGATGTCATCATTTTTAATCGGAGTTTGAGAAAAACATTTTTTTTTTAATAAGACAGTTTTTGTTTCATAGAAAAATGGTAAAGAAGACACAGAGGTATCCTAGACACCCCCTCCTCCCCCTCCCCTCTGCACCAGCAACATCCCTTCAGTGGTACATTTCTTGCAATAGATGAACCTACATTGACACATCATTGTTCCCCCCTACTTTGTACTTTACATTATGGTCCACTCTTGGTCGAATCCACGGCAGATTTATAATGACAGGTAACCCACATTAAGCATACTGAAAGTAGCTACACACATCCTCTCTGTTTTGCCTGTTTATCCCCTTCTCCCTCCCCTGTCTCACAACTCCTGACCTTTTTACTGTGCAGTTTTGCCTTTTCTAGAATGTCATGGAGTTGCAGCCGTATATTAGGGAGCCTTTGTGAATTAGTTTCTCTCAGTAATCCATATTTAGATCTCCTCCCACCCTGTGTGTGTGTGTAATGTGCATGGACACATATGCAAAGGCCAGAAGTTGACATCTGGTGCTTTCTGCCATTGTTCTCCATATTTACTGAGGCAGAGTCTCTCAGTTGTATCCAGAGTTCACCAGTTCAGCTGCTCAGCTTGCTTTGAAGATCCCATCTCTGCCTCTTGGGAACTGACATTACAGATGGGTTCCATGCCTGTCTGCCATTTACATGGCTTCTAGGGATCCCGACTCCAGTCCTGCTGTTTTTTTGATCAGCACTTTACTCATGGGCCATCTCCTTAGTCCTATATAGATTTCTGCACCGTGAGTCAATATATTACTCAGTTTTAGTGCAGAATGACAGTCTTCTGGCTGTACCCATATTTTAAAGATCTGTTTCTTTACTGAAGGGCATACTGGTCCAAGGACAATTTTCTGTTACATTTTTGTGTTGTCTTTTGTAGGATTGGCAGGGTAAGGCATGTGAGAAGAGAGCTTGCATATGTGTGGGGAACTCATATAAAGTCACACGTTTCCCTATGAGAAGGCTCTCTTGACAACCATTCTCCTTATTCCTACTCATAGCTGTTGCCAACGTGTGTGGTGGGATGCTTTCTGTCTGCATCTTTTTTCATCATTTGTGGTTTGTAGTTTTCACTATACAAGTATCCTGCCTCTTAGTTAAGTGTATTCTTAAGTGTTGTATTCCTTTTGATGATGATATGGGACTTTCTTGGTTTCCTGTTCATGTACATTGCTAGTGCATTGAAATATAGTTCTTGCATGTTGATTTTCATGTCCAGCAGCTTCATTAAATCATATTTTTAGTTCTAACTGATCAATTCTTCTAGCACCCTCTCTTTCTTCTTCTCCTTTTCTTTTTTTTTGGGGAGAGCCTTCCCATGTAGTCTGGGTTGGCTTTGAATTTGTGACCCTTTGCCTCGATCTCTTAACTGTTAGGATTACAAGTGTGCACTACCATGGTTGGCTGCATCATAATATTTTTAAGTTGGGGTCTTTCTATATTTAATGACTCTCATGACTGTCAACAGAAGCACTTTATTTCTTTTCCAATTTGGATGTTCATTTGTTTCCTTTTCTTGCTCAATTGCTGAGGCTAGACTTCTACTACTACATTGAATAAAAGTTGAAAAAGTGGTGTCCTCACCTTGCTCCTGATCTTAGGGAAAATATTTTTAGTTCTCCTGCATAGGGCATTGTTGTTGGTTTGTGGGGTCTTCATGTATCAACTTCTGTTGCACTGAGATACTTCCAGTTTCTGGTTTGTTGAGCTTTTGAAATGGAAGTCTTCATGTTGCATTTTGTACTTGTCTCACATCAGTTTGAAGAGTCATGTTATTTTTCATTTTTATGAAAATTTTATCTGTATTCCAAGGATAAATCCCACTTGATAACAGTGTATGTTTCTATTAGTGTGCTATTGGGTTTGGTTTATTAGCATTTTGTTGAGGATTTTTTTGCATCTATATTTATTAGGAATTTTAGCCTGTGGTACCTTTTAAGGTTTTTAAAATTTTTTTTTTTTTTAGATTCTCTTATAAAGAGGTGGGCATCATCATGGCAACTTTATACATGGGTGTCATTGTACTCCATCTTCATTTGGTCATCTCATACTGCCCTTCTCTATTCCCCCTTCCCTGCTGTAGCTGACTCCCTTTCTTTTCTCAGTTAGACATCTTATTACTTATATTCCATTACCATCTCTATTCCTCCTTCTTTTAACGTCTCCTCCACCCTTCCTCTGATCCCCTTTCTAGTGTTGGGACTCCCACATGTATAAATACATATACAAATAAAATTTTAGATCTCACATATGCAAGAAAAAATTGAGTATTTGTTTTTCTGCGTATGGCTTATACACTTAACATAGTGATTTCTAGTTGCATCCATTTTTTTCTACATAAATTTTTATGATTTCATTTTTCTTTATAGATGCATTGTGTATATTACTATATTTTATTATTTTAAAAATTTATTTAATATGTATACAGTGTTCTGCATGCCAGAAGAGGGCACCAGATCTCATTGCAGTGGTTGTGAGCCACCAGCTGGGAATTGAACTCAGGACCTCTGGAGAAGCAGTCAGTGCTCTAAACCTCTGAGCCATCTCTCCATCCCTACTACACTTTCTTTATCTAGCCATCCGTTGATGGACACCTAGACTGATTCCGTTTCCTGACTATTGTGACTAGCACAGCAATAAACATAGGAATGCAAATATCTCTATAGGATATTGATGAAGATTCTTTAGGTCTACATTCCAAAGTGGTATAATTGGGCCCTTTCTAGGTCAATTTTCAGTTTGTTGAGGGTCCTCCATACTGGTTTCCATAGTAGCCATGGAAGTTTGTACTCTTACCAGCCAGAAATGAATAGGGTTCCTTTTTCCTCCTTTCACATTTTTGGTCATTGCTTTCTTGACAATAGGGATTCTGCCTGGGGAGAGATGGAATCTCAAAACAGTTTTAGTATGCATTTCCCCAAAGGCTAAGGATGTTGAACACTTTTCTAAGTATGTATTGGTCATTTGTATTTTTCCTGTCAAGAACTATTTACTCATTTTTTTTAGCCCATTTATTGATCAGATGATTTTACTTTTTTTTGTGTTTCAACTTTGCAGTTATTTGTATATCTTAGATATCACACCACTGTCTGATGTATACTTTGCAAAGACTTTCTCTATTCTATAAGCTGTCTTCACTCTGGTGTTTTCTTATTTTGTAGTGTAGAAGTATATTAGTTTCATGTAATAGAATTTCTGGTGCTGTGGGGGCTTTGATTATGCTTGAATGTTGAAATGGTTTCCCTATGTTTTCCTCTAACATTTTTCAAAGTTTCAATTCTTACATTAAAATCATTGGTCCACTTTAATTGTTTTTTTTCCAAGGTGAGAGATATGGATCTCATTGCATTCATCTACATTTGTTTTAGAGGCCATATTTTCTCCAGCGTATGTTTTCCCAGCTTTGTCAAGAATTTGGTTGCTGTGTGGGTCTATTTCTGGGTCCTCCATTCTCTTTCATTGGCCTGTGGGTCTGTTTTCATGTTCGTGCCATCTGTTTTTGTTACTATGATTCTGTGTGTAATTTGAGGTTAGGTATTACGATACTTCTAGAATTGCTTTTTGCTATGAATTGCTTTGGCTTTTTAGAGTCTTCTGTGCTTCTATATGCATTTTCTTTTTCTAGGTCTGTGAAGAATGTCATTGGGATTTTGGTGGTGATTACATTGAATTGTCAATTCTTTATGTGATTTAGCATTTTTACAATATTAATTCTACCAATCTACAAAGATGGGAGATATTTCCATCTCCTCATTGCTTCTTCAATTTCTTTTCTTATTTAGCTTTTAGCCATACTCATAAACTTAACTCTGTAATCCAGCTAGATATGGAGGGGGATGAGGAAAAAATGGAACTTCGGTGAGAGTAGAGATGATAGGGTATTGCGGGTAGATGGAGTGGGGTCACTCTCCTGAACTACAGAAGGAATGGTCTGATGGGTAAGATGCTCATGGGTCAAAAGAATTAGAGTTGTCCACAATTGGAAGTGGTGATGTTGCTGGTCTTGCCCTTCCCGTACCCAAAATGCTCCACGGCTTCTATGATGCTCATGCCATCTTTCACCTTCCCAAAGACCACGTGTTTGCCATCCAGCCACTCCGTTTTGGCACTGCAGCTAAAACACCTGGGAACCATTTGTGTTTGGCCAGCATCTTCCATGGACAAGATGCCAGGACCTGTATGCTTCAGGATGAAATTCTCATCCTCAAATTTCTCCTTGTAGATGGACCTGCCGCCAGTGCCATTATGGTGTGTGAAATCACCACTCTGGCACATGAAAGAAGGATTGTAACTAGAGTTTTTCTGCCTTGCTTACAGTCAGGACAAATCCTTGTCACCTGCCAGTCCCACAGAGGCTCAGACCCAACCAAGTAAACACAGAGACTTATATTGCTTACAAACTGTATGGCTGTGGCAGGCTTCTTGCTAACTCACAGCTTAAATTAATCCATTTCCATGAATCTATACCTTGCCATTTGGCTCCTGGCTTACCGGCATCTTCACATGCTGCTTGTCATGGTGGCGTCTGGCAGTGACTCCTTCCACCTTCCTGTTCTTTCTTTTCTCCTCTCTGTTAGTCCCGCCTATACTTCCTGCCTAGCCACTGGCCAATCAGTGTTTTATTTATTGACCAATCAGAGCAATTTGACATACAGACCATCCCACAGCAAAGGAACCACTATATCCAAATCCTTTCTCTCCTGTGCTCAGAGCACAGAAGTTTTCTGCTGTCTTTGGAACTTTGTCTGCAAGCAGCTGGAAGGAGACACGGCTCCAGGGCCGGCCATCAGCTGAGATGTTGAAGAACATGGTGGAGTTGACCATGGCTGTAGGAAGCGGCAACAGGAGACAGTGGCATCTGCTCTTCTTCAATTTTTTACTCTGTACAACTGCCTTTCTGGGACTTCCCTCACTGTGGGGGTGTGGCAAGCTGAGCTGAGACTCCCTGACTTGAGAATGTTTCCTGATCTTAGGCTTCCGAGATACTTCAGTTTTAGGCAATAGATTTTCTCTCAGGATGACACTCATCTGTCCTCTGAGTCATAGAGCTTGACATATAGTGCTGGAGGAGACGCTGTCTCACAAAAGCCCAAATTGGATTTGAGACTCATTAGGGTTGTGGGTCTGTCCTGAGCATAGGACTGCCTGGTTTTCCCCTTAGAAGCAATTAGTTTCCTCTTCCCCCTCAGGGAGCTGTGCCGCTGAAGCTCCTCTGCATCATGTTCTACCCTCTTCCTCGCTCTGATGCTTTCTAGCATTCTCTCACTTTGTGGATTTCTTTCTGTGGAAGCTCTTTCTCCGTTTCTCATTTTGGAATAGAGTCTACTTTTTAAAATTCAGACTCTCTCTTTTACCAGCTCATACACAGGCAGTCCCTATCTGCCACCTACCCACAAGTCTGCTGTAGTCTTCATCAGCCTTTTATAACAGGGTCGTGCTGACCTTATACAATGCGTTTATAACTTTTTTTTCCTCTTGAGTTTCTTTTAGGCTATCCTGTGTGATGCCATTTATTTGCTCCTAGTCTTATTCTTTTATGATCCTGTTTATATCAAGTGTAATGTCTTCTTTCTGGGCTTCATTTGATTCTCTTAGTTTAGTTGAATATTTGTCAATTTTATGTATCTTTCCAAAAAACCTTTAAGTTCACTGTTCTTTTTTCTATTGTTTTGTTAATTTCTGTCTATAATTTCTTTTTTTTCCCTGATAACTTTAGGCTTAGTTTGCTCTTCTCTTTAAAAATTTTTCCCTTAAGTGTATTGTTAGGTTGCTTGGGTCAATGTATGAGAGAGAGGGGGTGGGGGAAGAGTATGTGTAAACATGTTCATGTGTGTAGGCAGTTATTGCAATAAACTTCTTCTTACTGCTCTTGGTGTACCTGTGGTTTTTAATGATGTGTTTTCATTTTCATTGGTCTCCACGCATTTTCTCATTTCATTTTTTATTTCTCCTTTGACCCAGTGGTTGTTCTCAAATGTGTTGTTGAATTCACACATGTTTGTAAAATTTCCAGTTTTCCTTCAGCTGTTGGTTTCTAGTTTCACTCTGTTATGATCAGTAAAGATACTTGGAATGAGCTCCATCTTCTATAACACTTGTTTTGTGACCTGATACGTGGTCTGTCCTGAAGTATGCTCAGTGAGGAGAATGTGTATTCTGCTGTTTCTTGGTGGAATGTGTACATATCTGTTAAGTTCATTGTCTATAGGGCTGTTCAGGTCCTTTTTTTTTTTTTTTTTTTTTTTAAAAAAAATGATCTCTAAAGCATGTTATAACCATTATTGAAAGTGGGAGTTGAAGTACTACTGTTATTATTTTGATGTCTATTCTTCCTTCAGTTCTATCAAGGCTTGCTTTGTGTTTTTATGCCCCCTGTTGGTGCTAATAATAATTGATACATATTCAAGGTAGACGATAAATCATTATAGAATTATAGAAGTTCCTTCTTTGTCTCTTGTGATAGTTTTGGTTTGATTTTTTTTTTTTTGGTTTTTCGAGACAGGGTTTCTCTGTGTAGTTTTGCGCCCTTCCTGGAGCTCACTTGGTAGCCCAGGCTGGCCTCGAACTCACAGCGATCCGCCTGGCTCTGCCTCCCGAGTGCTGGGATTAAAGGCGTGCGCCACCACCGCCCAGCTGATTTTTTTTTTACTTGAGGTAAGTATAACTACCCCAACTTTTCTTCTGGTTACTATTATGTGGAACATCTTTTCCCCTTGTGTCTCTTTCAGCCTATATGTTTCTTTAAAGCTTAAGTGTTGGGGAATATTATTTTAAGGTGTGTTACTTTTGTTTATGTTGCATTTGTTTAACTTGGTGAAGCTGTGTTACTGTGCCTGTCTAAAACACCTGATGGTCTAATAAAGAACTGAACAGCCAATAGTAAGACAGGAGAAAGGATAGGTGTGGCTGGCAGGCAGAGAGAATATATAGAAGGAGAAATCTGGGAGGAAGATCTAGGAATGAGAGAGAAGGAGGAGGACTCCAGGGGTCAGCCACCCAGCTACAGAGCAAGCTACAGAGTAAGAGTAAGATTTACAGAAGTAAGAGAACGGGAAAAGCCCAGAGGCAAAAGTTAGGTGGGATACATCAAGAAAAGCTGGCAAGAGACAAGCCCAGCTAAGGCTGTGTATTCATAATTAAGAATAAGCCTCTGTGTGGTGAGTTTATTTGGGAGCTGGGTGGTGGCCCCCCCCAAAAGAAACAAATACAACAGTAAAGTGTGTTTCCTATAGACAATGTGTAGCTAGGTCTTTCTTTTACATTCTATTCAACTACTTTATGTCTCTCCCACCCCAACCTCTACTTTATTTGTAGAAACATCACAGGACACCACTTATCTCTAAATAGTGTGTGAGTGTGCCACACCAGTCTGTATGTCTTTACATTGGCAGATAAAAGCCTTTACTATGGGGCCTTCACAGGGGTCTGGGCACCTTTGGGAGCCTGAGCTGGAGCAGGAACCTGGGACTGAACTGTAGCTGTAGCCTCAAGTCTTGATTTACACCTTGAATTTTGGTGGTCTGAGCCGGCAACCCTTGACCATATAGCTACAAAACTGCTTCCCGATGTTAGGGTGGGCCGTGCTGTGAAAGCAAGTCAGCAAAGGTTACAGTTGGGGCCCTTTGGCATTTTGGGTTTAATTGCCTTGGCTGTCACAAGGGCCTTGATGACCTCTGCACCTTCACTCATTGCTTTCACATTGTTTCCTGCATCTTCTTCAGGCCTTTCTTGTTATGCTTCCAGGCAAAACACATGCTCCTCAGGAATGTGGAGCTGACCCCCTTGTGAGACTTATTGATGTGATTGGGATTTCTTGATTTCATTTCTGTGTCATTTTCCAGATTAGCTGCGTGTGATGTGGTTTCCAAACTTACATACACACACATACACACACACACAGACAGACACACAATTGTAGAGACATAGACATTAAGCACATGCTGTTATAAAAAAATAAAAATCAGAATCCCATAAAGCAGCACAGATCTGCTACTGTTGCTGTGCCCAGGATGATTTGAGTTTATTAGCTTCTCAATCATCACCCAGGAAGGAAATACTATGAGTCACATCATTAAAGTTCTGATAAAGCACAGTGACTACAAAATCATAAAGCAGGTGAAGATACGTTATATCCACACAACAATGACATTTTTGGCAAATCTTATTTAAACATTAAAAAATATTTTGTTTTATGTGTATGGGTGTTTTGCCTGAATGTATGTCTGTGTACCATGTGTGTGCTTGGTGCCTGTGGAGGTCAGAAGAGAGCATTGGATCCCCTGTAACTGGACTTACAGATGGTTGTGAGTCACCATGTGGCTGCTGGGAATCAAACCTGCATCCTCTGGAAGGGTAGCCAGTGCTCTTACTCTTAAAGAGTCTCCTCTTTAGGTCTATCTTTGGTAATCTTTATATCACAACTGATGGTTGGATGATTGTTTAAGACCAGAACATATTGCCTAACAAAGCCATAGTGAAAAAGGATGTAGGCAAGGGTACATGTAGACTGGAGAGGGTACTGGATATCTCTGGTCCAGTTATTTTAGGTAGGTCTGGCTGATGGATATAGAGAAGTTTAAGGGAAACAAAGCTAAGTGAATGGGTGAAGGGAATGGTACATTGGAATGAATGTTCTTCCATGAGGTTAAGGTCATTGTTAGAAATAAAGACAAAGGCAGTGACAGTCCTCTGGGTGCTCACACCCGCAGTAGTCCTGGTGAACAGATGGAAGAAAGGATGGCTGAAAGAATGAAAGAATGTTCTCAGTAACCAGGAAAACTTCAGCTACACACATCTATGTCTTTGAGCATACAAAAATGGGTGAGTCAGAGTTATTAATATAAAGAGTTACAGTGGCAATAGTATGTCCTAGTGATGGTCCTATTTTAAAAACCAACTTCAAAATCTGTTTCAAAATGTTATCTTAAATCCTGTGTACATCCTCCTTTGCATTTCTTTAAAGAGTCAAGTCAGTTGCTTACAGTTTATTACTTTAAACATAGGGAAGTACATCTGATATCTGTTCACTTCTCCCTATAGCTAGTAAACAGTGGGTACCAGAACCACTATGATGACCTCATTGTGCCATTGACTATGTGCAGGAATTGACCATGTGCAGGCATTGACCTTGTACAGTCATTGGCCATGTGAAGGCATTGACCATGTGCAGGCATTGACCATGTACAGGCATTGGCCATGTGCAGGCATTGACCTTGTACAGGCATTGACCTTGTGCAGGAATTGACCATGTGCAGGCATTGACCATGTGCAGGCATTGACCATGTGCAGGCACTGGCTATGTGTAGGCATTGACCTTGTGCAGGAATTGACCATGTGCAGGCATTGGCCATGTGCAGGCATTGACTATGTACAGGCATTGACCTTGTACAGGCATTGACCATGTGTAGGCATTGACCATGTGCAGGCATTGACCATGTGCAGGTACTGACCTTGTGTAGGCATTGACCTTGTTCAGGCATTGACCATGTGTAGGCATTGACCATGTGCAGGCATTGGCCATGTGCAGGCATTAGCCATGTGCAGGCATTGACCATGTGCAGGCACTGACCTTGTGTAGGCATTGACCTTGTGCAGGCTCTCCAAGGTCAGTGATGTAGGTTGGATTTCTGTCAGGATTGACTTGTTTTCTGCAAGAGCTGGGTCTCCCGCCTGCTAACATTTGTAATCTTTCCTTACTATCTAGCCTGCTGTAAAATTACTAGTACAGCTTCCCCAGGCAATGACTTTGTGATTTCCTATTTTTTTTATTGATCAATAAACAGTTTTAAACCAAAAAACCCCACAGTGAGAATAGAAACTTATTT